GAACACTCGGCTGCTCGAGAGGGTGAACCGGCAAGAGGAAGGGCTCTCCATTCTCAAAAGCACCCGGCCCGATATGTACCTATTCTACCCTCGGTTGACACCTTGAATTTTTCTTTTCCTTGCTCCTGAATTTGTCATCCGTTTCCAGAACTGTGTGGAAAGATCGGCTCTCTAAAGCAAGAGCTAGAGATGGTCAAAGCGGCGATCGATCGGGGCACAGAGGCGCTAGCCCAGTCCCTTGAGGAGCAATGCGCTCTCGAGGGAGAGCTTGACCAGATTTGCAACATTACGTGGGTGGTGGTCTCTGAGGTGTTCGGGTCGGGACCGAGCATCAGTATGCCCGTCGTCCAGCTGGTGGAGGTCCTGAATGAAGTTCGGATGCTCATCTCCGATGGCATGTTCTACGAGACGTCGGGGGTGCTGACCTCGGTGGTGACCCACTACCCCGATCTGGACCTCACGACCATCTACAGAGGATATGCCGACGGGTGGAGCGCAGACGAGATCCATGCGCTGAGGGAGAGTTTGGTGTCGCACGCACAGGTGGTCGCTGAGCAGGTCACCGCTTAGTGGGTGATGGAGGCTCGCCGTTCGATCGTGGCTGTAGATGTGCGGTGGGAAGACGTCGTCCAGCTTGCGGAGGTGGGGTCGGAGGCGAGTGTCGTCTCGCCCCCATCCGAGCCGAACGTCATCCCGACCACAGCCAAGCTAAGCGCCGTCGTACTGACCACAACCGAGCTACCTTCATCCTCACCAACCACACCATCAACCGACGCCGCCGGGGGCCACAATAGAGTTAGAGTAGAGATAGTCAGTTTATGTAAAAGATGAATTCGTGGGGGAGCCCCCATGTGAATAGTTTTACATTCATGAATATTTTAAGTTCGTTTTGAGATGAAATCACTCATGAGGGGAAGCTTGTCCCATCCGCCCTTGTTTCCTTGCGTAGCTTTGTTTTTTGTCCCTTCTTTTTCGCACTTGTCCGTTCACCCGTAGGCTACAACCTTAAGAACCCGAGCATGGCCCGCAAGGCTCAGCTGCTCGTAACCGTAGGTCATGACGGGGTGTGATCGGTCGGGAGGCTAAAAGGGCAAGTTACATAGGGTAATCAAAGGAACAGAATGCCCTTTTGTTTGGGCGATGCCCTTTTGTTTGGGCAAAAGTGTTACTACATGATAGTAAAAAGGGGTGGTATCACACTTACGTGGAGCCCCCGAGCGACCCAGTGAGAGAGTGCTCGAGTCAGGGCCTTTGTAGAGAGCAAGTATTGAATGGAAATAAATGGTAAGACCGAGCTTGAGGAAAAAACGACATAAGCTGCTCGATGTTCCATGTGTTGGTGAGAACATTGTTGTTGTCGCCCTTCACCTGATTGGCGCCCAGTTAGATCACCTCAACCACCACGTCACGGTCCTTCCTATGGTGGAGAGAGCTTATGTTTGTCCTTGGTTGACCCAGGTCCTCCGAGATGCGAGATCACCAACATCGAGGATCCTCCCCGATTTTTCTTTCATGGTACTT